ATATTAGACGTGAGAGTGATTGGCTGCTTGCAGTGGCTCATGCTTGTAGTCCCAGCACTTAGGGAGGCTGAGACAGGTGGATCACCTGAGGTCATGAGCTCAAGACCAGCTTGGCCAACATCAGGAAGCCCGGTCTCTACTAAAAATACAAAAATTAGCCAGGGGTAGTAATGGACATCTGTAATCTCAGCTGCTCAGGAGGCTGAGGCAGGAGAATTGCTTGAACCCAGGAGGTAGTGGTCGCAGTGAGCCGAAACTGTGCCACTGCACTCTAACCTGGGCGAAAAGAGCAAAACTACGCTTCAAAAAAAAAAAAGAGTGTAATCTTCAACTCTGTGGAAGAGAGAGACACAATGATCAGAAGGAGACACAACATAAGAGGCCTTTAGGATGTAGATAATACTGTATTCCATGATTTGAATTGTGTTTATACAATCATGTTAATTTTTGAAAATTCTTCAAGCTGTGCACTTTCTGTATTTTGTCAGTCGTTAAAAATGATTGTGCAATTCTTTATTGTATGTTTCATAAAAATTATTTTAAAATAACATAGCTTTAATATTTCATTGAGTTTATTGGGCTCTGATTCTTGAAGGTAGCACAAGAAACTGGGAAGTTTACTTGGTGTCCAGAAAATAGAGTAAAGCTTTTTTGCTCATGTCAATGTCTTTCTTTACCTTTTCTCCACCTGCTAAATCTTGCAGCTCTAGAGATTTATTATGTATTACTTGTCACTTGTCATTAATCAGTTAAATGAATTCATAAAAGTTCTTTTCTTCCTTATAACTGCTCTCAGAACCTCATTTCTTAATATCCAGCACCAGTGGCCACTAAGAGCCAATATTTTTAGACTTCTGACTATAAGTCAGATATAGGTCTAATTTCCTTTTTCATCTCTCTTCTGAGTGAAAGAACACACAAAGAAAACTACAGGCCAGTGTCTCTGATGAATATTGATGCAAAAAGTCCTCAGTGAAATATTAGAAACTGAATTCAACCATGCATTTAAAAGATCATTCATCACGACCAAGTGGGATTTATCCCTGGAATGCAAGAATGGTTCAATGTATGAAAATCAATGTGATACATCATTTAACAGAATGAGGGATAAGAAGCATTTTGATAAGGAAATTTTGGTTATTTCTGTGGTATGCAATAATTTTAGTAAAAGGCAAAAGATTTATACGATTTGAAGAGAAACCAGAGTATATGGTATGCAATAATTTTATATAAGAATTATAATTATTAATAACATGCACTAAGTCATATCAGAATTACACAAGTTTTCCATAATTTTGGAACACATGCCAATACTTATTTATACAAATACAGCCCAGAGAAAGCCAACCACTATTTCATACTTGACAATGCTTTCTGTATGATTTTTATACCAAATAAGCCAAATTTCACCTTTGCATTAGTATACTATTAATATTAAACCCAGTTCTTAATAAAACCTTATAGATATATCTACTCAATTTTAATGTTTGACCATAAGGTAAGATTCTAATCCTTTACAATTTTTGTTAACAAGCTCATTTTTTAAAGTATGCCTGTGCTCACAGAAAATAGGAGATGTCTCTGAGGGCAAACTAACAACAGACACTGTGCTTTACAAGTCATTGGGTGTGACAAAGTGAACTTACTATCAATATCCATTTTTTTCATTCTTCTATAGTGGTAGGAGCTCAATATATTTAGTTGAGTACAAGACAAGGTAACCGTAACTCAGACTTCTTTTGAGATATATACAGCCACGTCACTAAGCTAAGTCAATGAACTAGAAGAAGCAGCCTCATGTGGTTAAGTCTTGGAAACTTCAGGAGGCATTAGACTGTGTTCCTTACTCTTTTCTACTGTCTGTCTTCCTCTTCTGTATAGTATGCAAGTGGAAATATCTAAGGCCCTAAGAAAAAGTCTATCTTTGGCAAAGAGACAAGAGAGAAGAAGCCTGGGACCCTGAGACAGTGGATGTCAATGCCAGTCTTGGATTCTCTACCTGGACGCTTGCATGATAAAAAATAAAACTTCCATCTTATTTTAGTCAATGTTATTTTAGTTTTTCCACTCTTCTCTTAAACCTAATAATGCTAATTGATGCAATGAATAATAAGAAAATATAAAGACCCAAGATTTCCTCAAGACAAATTACAATACTGGTAACAGGACCTAGAAACTGAGCCAGAGGCCTTGTTCATTTAAGTGTGTGAACCTGAGACTCTTTTACTAAGTCACAACTCTAAGAATAAGAACTGATAGGTAGTGTTGAAACTGCCTTTACAAAATTATAACTGAATACATTAAGACAGTCAAAAAATCAGAACTAATTGATTCTGTCTTGCTTCTAACCTTTAAGATGTCCTTATTCATTCCTGGGCATAGGTAGAACTAACTTATGGAAGGAATTTAGATCGTGGTTTGACTGTGAAACAAAATTGATAATAGACCTTTCCCGAAAAGATCCCCTTCTTGCCTGGGGACCAATCTGTCTTTGCAGGACTCACAAATTAGCTACAATTAGAAATTACAGTTTAGGAGCCATACAGCCTCTGATTCCAAGAGTCAGAACATCCTCAAATTGCTCCTGGAAATAACATTACTAGTATAAAACCTAAAAGCAGTGCTTGAGATATTTTGCAGACCCTGCCCTCGATGGATCAGCTGACATCACCCAGCCTGGTAATCTAGCTCAGTCAGTTCTGCCATCCCACCCAGGAACAGAAAACAGCATGAAAAACTCACTTCAACCCCCTATGATTCCATCTCCAACCTGACCAATTAGCACTCCCCACTTCCCAAGCCCCTACCCACCAAATTATCTTTAAAAACTCTGATCTTTGAATTCAGGGAGACTGATTTGAGTAATAATAAAACTGTCTCCCACACAGCTGTCTCTGCATGAATTACTCTTTCTCCATTGCAATTCCCCTGTCTTGCTCTATCTAGGCAGCAGACAAGGTAAACCCTTTGGGCGGTTACAGTGGTGATACCTGGCTCATATGAGTAAATGCTATATTCAGTGGAAGGAACCGGTCTCTCTGCTTTGTCCATCTGGGATATTGTTTATTATTATTTTGTTGCTTTTAAGAGGAGGAGAAATATTTGTAAACTGTCTTTATGTCAGATAAGAAGAATTAAGATCTACATTTTTGAGGAAAGTCACCATTATTTTATTGGAAAATCACTATAAATTAACTATTATACTTACTGCCTTGCATATTAGCCTATCCCCACTATTATATTAACTTTAAAAGTTTATTTTCTAGGATAAAAGATGTAGGATGTACAATAGTTAATTTATAGTGAAAAGAAAAACCTGAATTCAGGTTTTTGTATTTGCAAGTTTGGGTTCTCAAGTTATTCAACTTCTAGGAAGAGGCTAATATGAATTAACAGAATTCACAGAATTCAGGTTTTTATATTTGCAAGTTTGAGTTCTCAAGTTATTCAGCTTATAAGAAAATAAAACTTCCTAGAAGTGTTCTGGAGCTGGGAAGGATGACAAGGAATGTGATGAGAAAGGAAGGCAGAGAGATTGGAAGTTGATATTTATTCAACATTTACTTTGCTAAACACTCAGTTAGGCAATAACACCTGCAGTAAACAGAAAAAGGCATGAGAGATACTAAGAAAACAGAGAGAGTAAAAATTGCATATTTGGGACTGAAACCCAAGAGTCACATATGCATGGACATTAAGAGACACCTTGACCAGTATCCTTCCCCATCATTCCATTATCTCTGATTTTTTACACATGGACCTTTCCTACTTTCTGTACACAGACTTCACCCTACGTTTATTATGGAAACATTTCTTATCCCAGAAAATAAACTTTTAAAGTTATATAGCTTCAGATAAATGTGTTATCTAAACAAGGCTGACGGAACAGTATTTAGTTCAAAGAGTATAGATCAACATTTATATTATTTATTCAATGAGCCCAATGAGCCACAGATTAATATTAGAAATACATATATATGATTTTATGCCAAGAAAATATTTCATTATATCATTTATAAAACCAAACAGAAAACTGTTTCAAAATACTTAGAAATGATAAAGAGATATAATAACAAAAACAGTTTAGTAATAAACATATTATTATACATTTTATTATGTTTCATTAATCTAGCCCATTAGTCATTTTTATGCATACACCAAAAGTTTAATCACTGTTGCTTTGTATTCGTGAAGTCTGGTAATATGTCTTTTATTTATTGTCTTGGTTATTTTCTTCTGTTTATTCTTGCACATGAATGTAACATTGTTTTTCCCGGTTAAATCATTTTTAACTTTTATTGTTACATTATTGCATATATTTAGATGAGAAGAGAGAGAGATGAGAGAGAAATGTTTTCAACATTATTGAATCTTCCATATAGTAATACTATTTACTTCTGTATACATTTATAACTTATGTGGCATGTACCAATATAACATAAACATCTGGTTATATTTATTTTTAAAATTTAAGTTTCAGGTTACATTTTATTTGTAAATTTTTGGTTATATTTAACTTTAAATTTTAAGAATATGTAAATATTACTTTATAGTCCCTACTCTGCATTTCATTCTTATGAAATTATTTTCATTCTCCCAACTAGATGATTATCTAAGATAATTATTTTTTTCTCTATTTCCTGTGAATAATGCATATTTCATTGTTCTGTAACATTTTGTAAGCTTCATTCTCTTTTCATTCTTGCTAGAGTTATATATTTTGATATATGACTCTTGGCTCTACTTAAGATTATTGTAACATTTGATTTCCCTTCTCAGATCTACTGCTAAAAAGAGAGTGGATACGGTTTGCTCTTCATGTAGTTTTCATTTATACCACATATTCATGCAGTGAACATTCTTGTACTCCAGTGGGATCTTTTAACTTGACACCTCATTTTCAGATATGTTTTCCTATTAAAGAATCTGGAATATAAATCCCTCTACACTGGTATCAGGAGTGAAATAATTTCTGAGCCTACATACTTTGAGTTACTTACAGTAAAAACACTCTCCCGGTGGCAAGTGTTAGTGGCCTCTTTCTCCTCTTCCCTAGCACATCTCTCTTTTCTCTCTGAGTGGGCAAATACAGGGAAAAATCATTTTAGACATATTTTTAAATACTATAACCAGAAATAATTTTCCAGTTAAGAGCATCTAAGAATCTTGGGACATGAGGATGTTAAGTGAGGGAGGAAAACATTTTCTTATTTTTTTTTTCAGAAAATTAATTAAGAATTTCAGAAATGTATAACATGAAACAGAGGGAATTCTGTAGAGAAGCTAGTAAGCCCTAAGGCCAACTTTTGCCCTTAAGTGAGGCAGCTTTGGTGACAAAGGGGACAGGAAAAAATACCTAGAACCTCTACAAGCAGGAAGTCAGAGCTTAGATTTTTTTTAGAAAAAAAAATCCAGTTTTCTCAGAAAGTGAGTGAGAAAATAATCCACCACGTACAGGCAGCATGATGATGGGGGTCCATGTCTGTCTCAGCCTTAGCTAGAGGGAAGACGTTAAAAAAAAAAAAAAAGAACACTGCTAAGAAGAATCTCTAATCACTCACTCTCAATTCATAACCACCCACCTGAAGAATCTGATGAAAATTCAGTATTTTCACGCATGAAGTATTTTAAGGTAGTCCCACATTTGAAGTCAGCAAGACCTTTAACAGAATGAGAGAAAGGTCCTTTTTGGAGAAATGCACATTACAACCGGGACTCAAAAAATTACTACAAGTGAAGGTTTAAATATCACATGCTCAAATAAATTAATTAATTAAAAGTAAGTAAAATAAATCAGGATGTGAATTCTACCCCTAGAAGTAATGAAAAGCAAAGAGTGTAGCTATCACTTTAGACTATATGTTATAAAATATGAGACAGAGGACTTGAATTATGATACATTTGTGTTTTTTTTTTTTTTTAAGATTCAAAAAAATGTATTGACCAGCCTGGCCAACATGACAAAACCCTGTCTTAACTAAAAATCAAAAATTGGCCAGGTGTGGTGGCGAGTGCCTGTAATCCCAGCTACCTGGGAGGCTGAGGCAGGGGAATCACTTGAGCTCGGAATGTGGAGGTTGCAGTGAGCTGAGATCATGCCCCTGTCTCCCAGCTGAGATCACTACAGCCTGTATGACAGAGCAAGACCTGTCTCAGGAAAAAAAAAAAAAAGTATTTCTTAATGAGAAATAAAAAGTGTATACATTTATGGTGCATTACATGATTTTTTTTTTTTTTTTTTTTTGAGACGGAGTTTCGCTCTTGTTACCCAGGCTGGAGTGCAATGGCGCGATCTCGGCTCACCGCAATCTCCGCCTCCTGGGTTCAGGCAATTCTCCTGCCTCAGCCTCCCAAAGACATGATGTTTTTATATCTGTATACATTGTGGAATGGTTAAATCAAGCTAATTAACATAATCCTCACATTAATTTTTGTATGTGATGAGAACACTTAAAATTTACTCTAGCAATTTCCAAGTATATAATATATTCTTATTATCTGTAATATTTATGTTGCTTAATATCATAAATACAGTTTACAGTAGGTTTTGTATATTTGGTATAATACAAAATGTGATATTCAATAGTATTCATTTATTTCTCTTTTGTTAATATTTAGTTCATTACCCCCAACAATCTGTAGATCTGTTTTCTCCACCAACAGTTCCTCCATGAATGGTACTAATTTTGGATGATATTCACCCCTTTATCATAAATGATATATTATCGTTATTATCTACAAAATGTTGTACATCTGCCAGTAGAAATAGAAGGCTTTGAGAGGGTGACATGTCTGATCTTTTGCATCTGTTACAGCCTCATATCATAAAATAAATTTTGGAGGCCAGGTGCAGTGGCTCAGGCCTGTAATCCCAGCACTTCGGGAAGCTGAGGAGAGTGGATCATTTGAGGTCAGGAGACCAGCCTGGCCAACATGATGAAATCCTGTCTCTACTAAAAATACAAAAATTAGCCAGGCATAGTGGTGTGCACCTGTAACCCAGTTATTCAGGAGGCTGAAGCAGGAGAATCACTTGAACCCAGAAGGAGGAGGTTGCAAGAAGCTGAGATTGGGCCATTGCACTCTAGCCTGGGTGACAGAGGAAGACTTCATCTCTAAATACATACATACATGCATACATACATACATATATACATAAAGGAAGCATGTTTAAAACCATAAAAGTATAACTTTGTAGTAAGCTTTAATTTTCTATACTTTTACAGAATGAACTACTCACAGACATCATTTTTAAGGAAAAATATATAGTTGAATATATTTATCTAAAATTTTTGTAAGTATAAACATAAACAAAACATTTCAAATGATAATTACTTTATAGAATTCTAGAAGAAATAGGCAATGGCACCCGCATATGACTTGTTTCAAAATAAAATCTATGGCATTAATTTCAAAATATTCAGATTACATGTATGCTTTCACAGACAATACATTATCAGGCATATCTGAAAGATCATGTAAATTTTGAAAGCTTAAAAATGAAGCTATGCTATGAAATATTTTGTCAATCTCCAATTTTCTCACAGAAATAAGTCTAAGGAAAAGCATGTTTATATTTCTTTTTTATCTACATTGGACTGCATTTAACATTGCTCTATGCATATTCATTAGAAATTATATACAACCATTTTTTCAAATACCTACTAATGATTGATTTTGATGAACTTTTATCAAAGAACAATACAGATTTGTTATATGGGGACTTTCTCTGGCCTTGGATATTTAGATCTCTTTATTCCTTTACACTCTGTTTATTTTTATCTGTAGGTGTTCATTGTTTTAAGCCTATTATTCTACCTTACCACATATGTAATAAATACAATAATTTATCATTTTCATACTTTTGGAAGTTGAATGAAGCTCTTTGGTCATCTTTTGGGCAGAAACTTTTGGATTGTGAAGGTAGCTACACTGGCAGCAGTTGAGTTAGCAATTGTTCAGTATATTTAAAAGTAATGTAATTATTTGTTTGATGTTAATGTTTCACCTAGAGAATTTAAAACAACATTCAAAAATATTTTAACTTTATTTCTTTGTGGTAAGACTTTTATCACCGTCAATAATCAGGTCTTTAAAAATGGATTATAATAGACTTTATATTATTTATAGTCAACAGGTAGAAATATTGAAGATGATTTTAAAAGATGGCTTATTTGAAAAAAATTTCTTTTAAATATATTGTTATGCTAACAAGATAGCATTTTTGTTTTAGGTTGGTGCAAAAGTAATTTTGGTTTCTGTCATTGAAAGTAATGGCAGAAACCTCAATTTCTTTTGCACCAACCTCATAGTTTCTTTTTATTTAAATAAACAAGAAATTAAAATTTCTTATTTAAATAAAATTATTTAAATGAATGAATGTGTCTGAAACTCTAGGAATTTACATTCATTTAAATAAGTAATGAGGAATAAAATATGACCTTTTTTTCTCTACAGAATTGCTTATCTTCTCATCTCACCTCCTTCCTAGATTATCACCTCCTTTAAGACCTGATCTTTCCCTTAACCTGGAAACCTTACATGAGTTTTCTTGTTAGTTAATAGTTTCCTTATTTTTGTTCTCAACACTTAAAATACATTTTTGAAGGGTTAATCATGCATTAATTATAATTGTACCTACTTGACTACATTGTTGCTAGGTTTTAAGGTTCTAGATACCAGAGCAATTGTAATTCAACTTTATGTACTAAATATAAAATTAGATGATGAGGCTGACTGGCTGAATGAAAGAATGAATTAATAACTAGATAGTGAACAAATAAAGGAAGTATTGGTTTGCATTTCCCTGATGATTAGTGGTGTTGAACATTTTTTCAACTATCTGTTGGTAATTTGTATGTCTTTTGAGAAATGTCTGTTCTGCTCGTTTGCCCATTTTTGACTAAGTTATTTGATTTTTTGCTGTTGAGTTGGGCTTCTTATATATTCTGGATATTAACTTCTTGTTAGATGCACAGTTTGCAAATAGTGTCTTCTATTCTGTTGGTTTTATCTTCACTCTGTTGTTTTCTTTGCTGCACACAAGCTGTTTCATTTAATGTAATCCCATTTGTCTGTTTTTGCTTTTATTGCCTCTGCTTTTGAGATCTTATTCAAAAAAATCTTTGCCCAGTCCAATTTCATGAAGCAAAGCACTTTCATTTTATTTTTTTCTAATTTTTTCATAGTTTCGGGGTCTTACATTTAGGTATTTAATCAATCTAGAGTTGGTATTTGTACACAGTGACAGATAGGTGTCTAGTGTCATTCTTCTGATGTGGTAATCCAGTTTTCTCAACATCATTTATTCAAGAAAATGTCCTTTCCCCAACTTGTATTTTTGGTACCTTTGTTGAAAAGTGTTGGCCATAAGTGCGTGGAAAGGCAAATGCAAATCAAAACCACACTGAGATAGCACCTCCTCTCAGTTAGAATGGTTATTATAAAAAGACAAAAAATAAGAAATTTAGACAAGGAACTGGGGAAAGGGAAACTTATGCACCATTGGTGGAAATGTAAATTAGTACAGCCATTATGGAAAACTGTGGAGGTTCATGAAAGAAAATAAAAATAGAGCTACCAAACCATCCAGCAATCCCATTACTCATTGTACACCCAAAGGAAATACAATCAGTATGCCAAAAAGGTATCTGTAGTTACATGCTTAGTGCAGTACCCTTTACAATATACAAAATATGAAAATAACCTAAATGTCTATCAGAATATGAACTGATAAATAAAATGTATTATGTATATATCAGCAATAGAGCATTATTCAGCCATAAATCAAAATAAAATCCTATCATTTTAAGCAACATAGATGAACCTAGAGGACATTATGTTATGTAAAATAAGCCAGACAAAGAAAGACAAATATCACATAACCTCACATGTGCAATCTAAAAAAGGTGATCTTATAAAAGTCGAGAGTAGAATGGTGGTTACCAGGGACTGTGGAGAGTAGGGAAGAGGAGCAAACTGAAGAGGTTGGTCAGCAGATGCAAAGTTATAGCTAGATAGGAAGAATAATTTCTGATGTCCTATTACACAATAGGGTGACTATAACAAATAGCCATGTAATGTATGTTTCAAGATAGCTAGAAGAGATCACAACAAAGAAATGTTAAATGTTTAAAGAGATGGATATGTTAATTAACTTGATCTGATCAGTATAAAACGTATGCATTCACTAAAACATCACACTACATCCCACAAATAGGTGCAATTAGTATGTGTCAATTCTAAATTTAAAAATTAATTTTTAACAAGAAAAATAAATGAAGTAATTTTTTTTCCAGAATCTTCTTTTTCTGCTTCTTACACTATGCCTGGCGTAGATATATTATTCTCTGCAACTCATGCCAGACGTAAGACTTGATGGGGAAAGAGTCTTGCTCAGCACTCTTCAATATCTTTTTCCCCCTAATCTTGTTCATAGAAGTTTTGTTCAGGAGAAGATATGGTATAATCAGCAAGGAATCAAGTTCAACAGAGAAATAGAAGATAAATCTTTATACATTAAAAAAAACTATGTTTTAAAGAATTTAAAAAATGTGATAATGATGCAATATAAATTCCTAAACTAAATTATATGGCTCTTTAATTGAACTTACATATCAATATTGTGCCTCCAAAAAGATATTACCTCAATATGAGTATGTGTC